GAGAGTACATATATTCCAAGCTTCTATCCAAATATTAATTTTATGGACTAATTTTTTTGCTCGCATCTGTCCAAAATGTAGGAACCCTTATTTAACACTACACTTGGACGCTGGTATAACGACCATTGTAAACTTTTCACTATATTTAAATAATAGAATCCTTTGCTTCCATATAACGACCATTGTAAACTTTTCACTATATTTAAATAATAGAATCCTTTGCTTCCATGAGATGCTCTAGCATTTATGCAATGATTTAAATGATTCATATCATGATTTTTTCGACAAAAAATTTACGCTAGCTGTCGACTACCCAACACAACCCTCCACTTTTCTCATTCGGGGCTTGGGACTCGACAATGGTAGTATTCTTTAATAGCTGCATAAGAAATTATAAAATCTAAAACCAAGAACTCAGAGTGTCAATGATTATTATAATTAAATGGAGATTGCTATGATTTAGGCCAATTTAGAAGAGGATTGAGAAGCTACGATGCCATGATTTTGTTGTGTTAAATAAGGAGTTTCAAGACATAGTTGTAATACATTATTATGTGGAACTAGAAGAAATAGTGCATATAACCATCAAAGTAAGACAATTTTAAGAGGGGGTAGTAGTAACACTGGACAAGTTGTTGGAGATACCTCTTGGAGACCAAACATAGTCAAAAGGGAGGAGAAACCAGCTATAAAAACTCCTTTTAATCCAATAGTAAAATTTATCATTCACTAACAAGGAAGAAATAATCATATTCTTGGAATCGTAATATTAAATGTTTTAAATGGCTAGGCAGGGGACATATCAGTAGCCAATATCCAAACAAAAGAGTTAGGATTATACGTAGTAATGGGGATATTGAAACTAGGAATGAATTGGATATTGATTTCATGCCCAGGAAGCTAACTAGGAAGAATATGCTATCCAAAGGGAGTTTTTAGTGCCTAGAAGGGCATTGAGGAAGTTAATGAGGTGCAATAAGAAAATATATTTTATACTAGATGCCAAGTTTAAAATATTGTATGATTATTGATGCGAGTAGTTGTACAAATGTAGTTAGCACTACCATGGTAGAACAATTATGATTTCCTACGCTCAAACTCCTACAGCCCTATAAACTACATTGGTTGAATGATAGTGGAGGGGTTAAAGTGAACAAACGAGTGCTAGTTTCTTTCCTATGAAAATATTTTTTTGTGATGTAAGTACCTATGCGAGCTGAGCATTTGATCCATCACCCTAGTTCCTCTGACCCCCAAAAGAAGTATGCGAAGAGCTTGTTAAATTACTAAATAAAATAACAAAAAGAAAGAAAAAAGTCCAAATAAGAATGAACAAAAGAATGGGGTTGAAACTTTTGATGCGACTACAGAACCAGAACAACCATTCAATGAAACGAAACAAAAAAAAAAAAATCATTTCTATGTGAAGTCCTCAAAAATAGAGCATACTTTTTGTATGACAACCTATTGTTTTTTTTATTTAAAGAGGCATTATTAAGTGTTATCAAAACTGAAATTTTTTTTGCCTAATTCAGTGGTTTCTATTTTACATTAATATTAGATATCTTTTCTGAAGATACCATGTTAAATTAACTCTAATTTTCAAGATAAACTTTAAATTGATTTCTTACAAGGTGCAACTAGTCCTTACCGACTTGCTTATAGAAACAACCAGAAAAGACCAAAGAACTACAAAGGTATGTTAGAAAGCTAGTGAATAAATTGTACATTAGAGAATTCATGAGTCCTTGTGCAGTTCCAGTGTTATTAGTACCCTAAGAAGGATGGAACATGTTGTTGAGCTATAAATAATATCATTGCAAAATATTATCATCCCATTCCTCACCTAGGCAATTTGTTTGATGAGTTACATGGATTTAGTGTTTTTTCTCAAATATGTAAAAATTGGCTATATCATTAAATTAAAATGAAAGAAGGCAACAAATGAAAAACTGACTTTAAAACATGGATTTTATAAATGTTTAGTTATGCCTTTTAGCTTGACTAATGCATCACGCGCTTTCATGAGACTTATGAACCATAATTTATGCATATTTAAAGGCAAATTTGTTGTAATCTATTTTGATGGTATACTCATCTACAATAAGAGCACGAACAAACATCCACTTCACTTGAAATCTGTTTTAGGTAGACTTAGAAAAGAATAGTTATATGCCAAACTGACCAAATGTACCTCTGCACGACTAAGTTGGTATTTTTGAATTTGTCATCACTGTCGAAGGAATACAAGTTGATGAAGAGAAGGCACAAGCTATTCGAGACTGGTGCAGAACTACCAATATAAGTAATGCTCGCAGCTTCCTTAATCTTGCTAGCTTTTATTGACGATTTATAAAGAGCTTTATTAGCCTTGCAGTCCACTAATTGAATTCGTTAAAAAACAGGTTCGATTTAAATTGGGAGAAGATTAGAATGCGGAGAAGATTAAGATAAGGCCTTTCAATCAATCAAAAAAAAAAAAAGTATTGCTTTTTATATTGACTTTACTTGTTTTCATAAAAATTTTTGAGATTGAATGTGATGATACTAGAATTGGGATTGGCCCTATTCTTATGCATGAAGAGTTGGCAACCACATATTTTAATAAAAAATTAAATGCCATACGCTAAATTATCCTACTTATGATAAAGAGTTATATACCTTAGTTCGAGCATTAGGAACTTTGCAGCTTTATCTATGGCCAAATGAGTTTGCAGACCATGAATTCTTGATATGTCTAAATGTTCAAAAAAAGTTATATTTGCGATATGCTTGATTGATGGAATTTGTAGAAACATTCTCTTATGTCATTAATTATAAAAAGGATAGGAGAGTGTGCTTGTTGACACACTATCACGTAGGTATACATTGCTTGGTGTTGAATATATTAAAAAGTTATATTAAGATGACCATGGTTTTAGCGTTGAATATGAAGTTAGTGAAAATTAGGCATTGGTAATATTTTAGGCAAGAAGGATCTCTATCTCGAAAAAATAAATTGTGTGCGTTAGTGTTTCTTGAGAGGTTTGCATGTTTAGGAAAGTCATGGTGGGGGTTTAATGGGACACTTTTAGATTGGCAAGACCTTTGCAATTTTACAAGAACAATTTTATTGGCCAAATATGAAGAGAGTTGTTGAGAGGCTCTACAATAAATGTGCCACTTGTATGCTTGTGCAACCGTGGTTTATAAGCCCCTTAGCCAATTATTGGGAAACTTTGGACTAATATTTCACTGAATTTTATGTTAGGTTTACTTTGGTAAAAATGAGGAAGAGATTTAATATTCATGGTAGTTGATAAATTTTTTAAAATGGCATATTTTGTTCCATGTCATAAATCAGATGACGCTTTCAATATTGCTAGTTTATTCATTAAGGAGATTGTAAGAGTTCATAGTATTGTTTAGAATAATTGTTTGATCAGGATGCCTTATCTTTTCAATCAACAAAATACATAACATTAGAATGCTTGCAAACATTCTGTAGCCTATGAGATGGAGAAAAAAGGGGACATCTATTGCATGGGAAAGGGAGTCAATGTGTGTTTCAAAGAGGCTAAGTTTCCAAATCATGTAGGTAATTTTTAGGGAAAGGTTATTAAATGCAAAATATTTTTCATGGTGAATTAATGAGTTTTGAATTTTAATAAAGAAAGGGAGGTGGCAACCTCATTATGGTGGAGCAGGAGCTAGAGCCCAAGTTCAAAGAATTAAAGATGAGGTGATTTTGGCCATAGTGGGCTAGGCTAATGGAATCTCATACAAGACCACTGCAATTCAATTTGATTAGTGCAATCATGACTCACAGTATCAGTTGACCCAACATAAGATTAAAATGGAAGAATATTCATTTTAAATCAACATAAAAGTAAATAAAGTAATGCTCTATTTATACTATAATCTAAAACTATTCAAAGTGCATCTCACTTCATTATCCCTTGCACAACCTGTTTTGATTAGAAATTTTTGATCAAACGGTGAAAATGGTGCACTTGGAGCCATTAGTTACATACTTTCAGGAGTTTCTTTCATGAAAGCACAATAACGTTTTGAATGAATTACCGTCATAGAAAATAAAATACTAGAGGTACAATTGCCTTGTATAGTTTTTTTTAGCTGTTTTTTATGCTCATTTTGCCAATTTTTATTTTGTCTTGAATAAGTGTTACATAATGAGTTCATTAGGGGTAGCATTCTCACTGTTTGCTTTGTAGAAACAATTATAGTTCTTGTTGGCTATTTGCTTTTGTGCTGCTACTTAAAATTTTTGCAGTGAAAAGCATTTTTTTACCACTAGTTTTGCTGAAGTGGTGGTTGTAAGGAAGTTACTATCCGATTTATTCAAAAAATTGAAAAAAATATTACCCCCAACTTTCAAAAAAAAAGAAAAAAGAAGGAAATTTTTTTTCTCATTAGAACTCTATAATTACATTTACAAACACTTTTAGCCGCCCCAAACAGACCTATATTATAATAAGGCAGTTCACTGTTATCAGTCTTGACTGTGATAAAATTTGATTAGTCCATACTAGGTAGATGCTCGAGTCTGTGGTAATTAATTCATTATTTACTTTTATTGTGATATTGCTATAAAAGTTGCATGTTAAAAAAGGTCCAGGGAACAACCCCAGCTGATAGCAAGTATTTAGCTCATGGGTATTGTGGTTCTCATTTGTGCAAATTATTTCTCAGTCAATTTTCTGCTACTTATTTTATGCCAAGGATGGATGGGAAAACAAAACTCTGAAATACTTGCATGCTATTAGAATTATGACATGAAAATATCTTCTTCTTTCAGTGTTATTGCTGGTATTATTTCCTTTTTGCATATTCATAATATAATTTTTGCTATTTTTGAGGCATACAACTGCAATTTATTTTGATGCTGCTACATCTTTTTCATTACTACGACGACTATTGTTGTTGGACAGCTAGTATCAAAAAAGCATTGGAAGAATCTTATTACGGCAAGACTAAAAACTATTATTTGTTTTAAGCAGTAGACATCATGAAACCTGGTGCCACTGTGATCATTCGCAATGCTAAGATTGATATGTTCAAGGGTTCAATGCGTTTGGTCGTAGACAAGTGGGGACGTGTTGAGGTAGCTGAGCCAGCTAGCTTTGCAGTAAAGGAAGAGAACAACTTGTCACTTGTTGAGTATGAGCTCGTCAATGTTGCTGAAGAGTGACAGCATCGTTCTTATAAATAAATATTTTGGACGGAGAAAGGTTAGTGAGCTCTTTCTTGCTTGTTTAGCCTTGCGTTCCTTGCCATGAGGTTCTTACTTAAGATGGCAGTATGTGAGAAGCGGCACCACATGCAAGTATAAGCAGTAATCATGTAGCAGCTTGTGATGCGTTTTGTTTCTTTTCTAACTTGTTTGTTGTGATCTACAAGTGTTGGCATTAGCACGTTTTATGAGGGTGTAAATCAACTATGAAACACTGGTATAAGGTATAGTAATTATATTTAACATGCATGTTTTGAGACTTTGATTTCAATGATGGTTTCGCTGATTCGAGACATTCTGGATTTATGCTATTTTTTATTGCTCGCGCTCTCTTGAATTGTATGCTTTGTTGAACTGGTTTAATGAGGGATTTGAGTTGCGGCATCTTGAGCTACTATATAGCATGGGATCTAAGTTGTCCTTTTGTTGGATTCAAATTTGTTGAGTCGGTAAAATTAGAACCTTTCTAACATGTATTGGCTAAACTTGCCCAAAAAAAAAAAAGTAAGGACAGAGAATTAGAGGGAATCTATTAAATTTTGCTAGATTATTGATAGAAGCTATAGAATTATGTTAAAAGTGTTTTTGTATATCAAACACATCCCAACTTTTTTCTTAAGTTTCAGTTGAGATTTGATGCTAAGAAATGGCTCCAAAGAAGATCAAAATCTAATTCTTTTATAGTTCATATGGTCAAAAAGAATAACTTACTAGATATACGAAAACTGTGACGATAGTTATCTTTATCCAGCGCTAATAGAAAAGGATATAAAGTGTAACTCTTCTTTATCTTTAACTTGATGTTCCAACAAAGAATTCGATCATGAGTTCAATAAATAGCATTGAGATCAATCTAAAATTCTGAAATTCACTAAATTTTTGAGTTTGAGGTCACAAAATGTGAAGTAGCTTATTTCCAATGATCAGATTTAGTGATGACGTTTGAGTAGTAGTTGCAATAAAAGTTTGGGTTTGGAGAAGATTATGGTTTGAATCATTGAAGTTGGTGAGTTCCCAAATTTCTTTTAAGGATAAAAAATTGAGCTTCTACTAATATGTTTTTAGAGGGGGTCCTCAAATTTCTCTCTATTTTCAGTAGCCCAAGATTCATATGCATATGGCTTCATAATGTCGAACTCTTTTAAAAGTTTAATTTTCTTCATTATATTCTTGATAGAGTAGATGATGTTGCATTTATATTTATTTCAGTTGATTTTCACATTGAAGGCTTTAAAGATCATATAATTACTTTTACTTTCAAGTATATTAAAATGTTAGGTTCAGAAAAGAAAACTAAAAACTGGAAGAAAAGGTATTTTTGAATGAAAAGAGAGGGTCCTTTTTTAGATAGAAGATTTCATGTAAATGTCTAAGTGATCTAAAAGTTCGTTTGGCGCAGATTTTCTGCTGTAGTGCTGCCCCAAAATATGGTTTCGATTTCTTCTCTTCCTTTTCTTCGTTCTTTGGCACCTACGGTGAGGGACAACCAACATTTGGTTCCTTTGATCTCCTTCATCCTCTGGTATCTTCTGCCATTATTCTTTGCCTCGGTGGCTTTGCTCTGTTCAGTTTGTGGTGCGCAAAATCTCATCTTTTTTTTTTTTTTCATTTCGGGATAATTATATACATGACACTTGAAACACTGCTTTATTCTCTGTTTTGATGATTTGATATATTTAGTTTGTGGTGTGTGCAGAAATTCATCTGATTTTTAGTTTTTTTTTGGGATAATTATATACATAGCACCTGAAACACTACAATTTTTGGTTTTGGTTTTTGCCTTTTGGTTTGCAAAAAAACCCAACTGATATATTTCGTGTGCAACGATCAAACCATTTTGAATTTGATAAAATGATAAATACAGGTCGGGATTTTATCATGAATTTTGATATTTTAGTGAGAGTTAAAGAAATGAAAGAAAGTGGGTGATAGAAATGTTAATAGCAATGTTTCGAGTGCTGTGTATGTAAACACCCCTTTCATTTTTTTTTTCGAACTTGTCTAGAGATTTGACATTTCATTTGCTATGCTAGAATAAAGGGATTTGGAATATTTTGTTTTTTTATGCAATTCTATGTTGTGGTGTGTCGAGTAGTGGACCATTTTGTTTTACTGTTCAGATTTGGCTCTTGTTGCTCTAGATCCTATGAAAGGGGAGGTCCAGGATGCAATAAATCTCTTCTTTCTGAAAATTCATGCTATATGAGCTTATGGGAATTCATGAACACCTATTAAAATCATTGTGGGTTTCAAAGGCAGTAAAAATGAAGAAAATAAAGTTTAAAAATGTAGTAAGTATTATCAAATTTTCTTATTGTCAAAATCGTTGTTTCGGTGGGTCAAGTGCATGAGAATATGAAAAAAATGTTAACCTTCTTTTTTGTTATGACATTTTTGTGGTGTGTGGGCTGTAATTTTGTAGTGGTGGCAGTGATGTGTTGATCGTAATGAGATGTTAGTGTGTTGGTGGTAATTTTGTGGTGGTGTCTGTGATAATGAGGTGGTGTTGTCCGTGGTAGTAATTGTTTGGTAGTGGTCGGATGGGTATATGTGGTTGACACATGTGCCGAATAGTAAAAAAATTACATATATTAGACGTTGTGGTTTAGCGTCATAAAATGTAATGATTGTATGCAATTTCAATGTGTTTCACCTTTATAATGGCCGGATGGGATGACAACACCCACGATAGTTGCATTTTCAAATTTACTATGTGAACTCATAAAATATAATTTTCCAGAACCTCTTCTTGTTTAGTTTGAATATGAATGAATGAATTAATACTTTTAGTACAATACTAATTTATTTACTTATAACAGGGAAATATTATTTGGTTAATAGTGAATATCCATTACAGAAAGGGTATCACATAACTCTTTCCAGATATAAAATATCACATTCACAATTTTGAAAGAGCTAATAATACCTCGAGACAAAAAGAAGATGTTTTGCAAAAGACACTCATCCTTATATGGTGTTATTGAGAGGGCATTTGGGCTTAAAAAAAATGTTATTCTACTTGATATATACACATATCCTTTCAACGAACAAGTGAAGATTGTGGTCACTACAATGACTGTTTACAATTTCATTCGTCGGCATCTTGCATGTAGTGATATTAATTTCAATAGTGTTAGTGAATATCCAATCACATCTCCTTACTAAATCATATGAATATCGTTTGAGGTAGTCAATATCACAAACTGAACGTTATTGGCCCGAGTCCTTTAGCCAGAAGATGGAAGGTGTTGGGGAGATGATGCGGTTAAGAGAGCAAATTACAAATGCAATTGTTAATGGGTGAAACAATATTGTATGTAATTTTGTCTTTATTTATGAAGGTCTTGTGAAAAAGCTAAATGTTTATTATAATAATGTCTTATGCATTGATATTTTTTTGTGATCGCAATTTAGTGCAAATTATTTTTCCAATCATTCTACATGTATTTTTTTTCTTTCATAGATGGTCTCCTAGACAACAATGGGTTATAGATCTATAATTTTTTCTTGTGTTTTTTATTTAGGTCTATAATGAGATATACGACCTTTGGGTTTCTTCTGTATGACCTATATGTCGCAATGAATTTTGACATATATGAAATCATCATCAAGACAACCATGGTCCCCTTATTTTTAAGTTTTGACTTTTGGATGGCCTTTGTGGCGATATGCTTCTGTGACACATATGAACTCAGTATTACACGGTTTAAATGCAATCAAGATCCAATTTTTTAAAGGTCCACTATCTTCTTGTAGTGAGTGATTATTCTTCGTTTTATCCTTTGTACTCTAAATCTTCACAACTTCATAAAATATGGGGTCAGTTTGATTTCATACTTCAACGTCTTTCCGAAGCAAGCAACGGGATTTCAAGCAACGGGGTTTCGATTCTGGCGACCGACAGCTTCTTACGGGCAACTCCCCACAAACTACCGAAATAGCGCCGACAGCTTTTGGCGACTCCGCTGGGGATAAGCTTTTCTCTCCATACAAATCAGGAAATATTATCTCCACACATCGGTAATGTGTCCATGCCCCTCTTGGACCGAATTACCCTTCTTCTGTTGACATACTTTACCCATTTCTGTCTTGGGAAGGTACAATCAACTCCTTGGACTTCAGGACTAGCTGTTCAATCATTTTTGAATAGAGGGGTTCAGAAGGCCATTAAGGACTCTTTAAATTTTTATATATCCCCAATAAGTGTGTCGGTGGACTAGTTTCACCTGGACAATTTCTGCCACTAATTGCGTCCTGCACTGGGTCCAAAAATATTTCACATCTCCCTTCCAAATTTGATTTGCTATTCCGCAAATTAAACCAAATCATGTCGTGCTGCGTGCACTTTGAAATTTTCTTACATTAATTAAATTTTACACCTTAATTTCTCTTAAATAAAATTTTAAATACCCATAAATTAAGACCCGCCCGGTCTACAGATCAACCTCTACTTTCAGTGCTTGCACTAAAAAGTACAAGGTTTTTGGCCATATAGCTAACCCTAAAAACTTTTTGTTTTAAAGCTTGCTACGATGACCTTCCCGATGCAACCTGCCGACAGCAACCTGCCGACAAGTCACGAAGCCCGCAACATTGCTCCTACCATCAAATTTGGAGCCAGATTCGAAGATCTCGAGCTCATCCTCAGGAAAGCCCCGTTTGTGGTAATGAAGATTGCTGCTCTGAAAATACAAGAACCGTCTGTAGAATTCAGTTTGAACTGCCTTCAAAACTTCCCTACCTGCAAGAAGGCTAAAGCTGCCGCCGTCACGACACCCGCCAAACCTGCTAGCCCCGCTGCTGCTAAGGGGAAAGAAGTGATGATCGTTGAAGATCCGACTGAAGGATTAACTGTCCCTCCACCCGTGTTTGAAATCAAATCAAGTTCGAGGACTGTACCGCTAACCCGAACTCAAAGGAGGAATCGTAACAGAAAAGTTCGGAGGGCTATCAAAGCCCAGGCTTCTGAGAAGACACCCGTTGAGGAGGAACTTCATCAAGATGAAGAAGTATTACCAGAAATTTATCCACTCCTACGTGGGAGTAGATTCCATCCTCTGACAGATACTGATGGATATGAGAATATCCGGAGGATCGTTGCCGAATTCCCATCACCTCATGGTTACCATCACTTCATGGACACAAGTGAGGAGGAAAAAAAGTTCACTCCTATCACTCGAGTTAGCGCAGTTTTCAGAAGGCTTGCTACTAAAAAAGGATGTTCGGTTAGCGAGTTACTTAAACGAGTGGGAGATGCAATTTCCCCTCGTG